CGTCTGCGCCGACAAACGGAATTGCATATGTGGGATTTTTGTGTATGTTGAATTACATTAAGGTACTCCGAGCAACACATGAATATGCGTTGCTGCTATGCATTCTCTTTGCACATTGCCTGTGGATATTTACGCTGTGCTGAAACACTATAGGGGCTTGGTCAATGTCTGCTATCAATGTGTCAGTAAACATCTGGAAAAAATGTAAAGGGACAAAATTCCAGCCACTTGGCAACTTCATATTAATATTTCTTCTTTTTGAGTTCATTGACCTAAACCTTAGCATCACTGCAGGATTTATTCCTAGATTAGTGTGTATAGGTGTACAGGGTAAGACCCTGGGTAAAGGTGGTGATCAATGCATCCTTGGAACAAGGCAAAGTTCCAACTTGCAGTTGTGAGACCTATATTTAAAAAGCCACACCTGAGCCCCTCTAGGGATCTAGCCATTGATAGTTGGACACAGGACAACTATTGGCTATTGTCCAACTTTCCCTTTTTGAGCAAGGTTTTAGAATGTGTAGTAGCCTCCCAACTCCAGGAATTTCTGGATGAAATAGATTATCTAGATCTATCTATTTCAATATGGTTTCAGGCCTGGCTATGGAACCGAGAGTTTTTATCGCCTTGGTGGATGACCTCCGTAGAGAACTAGAGAGGGGGAGTCTGTCCGTGTTGGTTTTCCTTGACCTCTCAGTGGCTTTTGATACCATTGACCATAGTATCCTTCTGGGTCATCTCATTTGGATGGGATTGGGAGGCACTTTTTTCCAGTGGCTCTGGTCCTTCCTGAAGGGCTGTATCCAAAAGGTGGTGCTGGGGAACTTCTCTTCAAACCTCTGGCTGTTGACCTCAGGGTTCCTCAGGGTTTAATTTTATTCCCCATGCTGTTTAACATATACATGAAACCACTAGGAGAGGTCATCCAGAGTTTTGGAGTATGGTGCCACCTATACGTGGATGACACCCAACTTTACTACTCCTTTTAACCTAATGCCAAGGAAGCTGTTCTAACCCTAAACTAGTGTCTGTCATCAATTATGGACTGGCGAGGGCAAACAAATTGAAACTTAATCCAGACAAGACAGAGGTACTCCTGGTCAGTTGGAAGGCAGACCAGGGAATAGGGATCCAGCCTGTGCTGGATGGGGTTCCACTCCCCTTGAAGACACAGTTTGGGGATCCTCCAGGACTCAGCATTGAACCTGGACGCCCAGGTATCTGCAGTGGCTGGGACGGCCTTTGCACAATGAAAACTTGTGTGCCATCTGCTCTTGTTCCTTGAAAAGCCAGATCTGGCCAAAGTGGTATACGTCTTAGTTACATCCCATCTGGATTATTGCAACACACTCTACATGGAGCTGTCTCTGAAGATTGCTTGCAAACTTCAGCTAGTCCAAAGAGCTGCAGCCAGGTTGCTCACTGGGGCTGGCTACAGGGAGCAGACAATGCCCCCCCCCCCACCCCACGTTACAGCGACTCCACTGTCCAGACACAGTTCAAAGTGCTGGCGAAGGTTCATGTCCAGGCTATTTGGCCAACCACACTCCCTTGTATGAATCTGCCCAGGCCTTGAGATCTTCAGGAGAGCCCCTTCTCTCTGTCCTACTGCCATCTCAAACTCAGTTAGTGGGAACGCAAGAGAAGGCCTACTTGGTGGCTGCCCCTCGACTCTGGAACTTCCTGCCCAGAGAAGCCAGAATGGCCCCCTCCCTGTTGTCCTTCCGGCAGTAGGCTAAAACCTTTTCTTTTTCAGACAGGCTTTTAAAGATGAAGGTGTTTCAGATCTAGTCAGGGATTTTTATCTTTGAATGTGTTTTTGATGGATTTTAACTGATTTTTTTAGTGCCGTTTGTGTTTACTTCTGTTTTAATATTTGTATATTTTCAATTGTATACTAATGCTTTGGGGAGCCACTTTGGGGAGATAAAGAGGGGTATAAATGAATATAATAATAATTATATTATTATACTAGATAAAGTATTGCGACTTTAACAATTCACCACAACTATTTCCAAACTTGTTTGTTTTCACCTCAAAGAAAATGACTCCTGGGGAATTTAGAAGTCTGGCTTTTCAAGTGTTGCTAGTTCAATAAAGGTACTGCTCAAACTTTTTAAATTTTTGTTCATGGAATACAGAGCTGTTTTCATGTCAGGCAAGTGGTTGTTGTTTCTAATATTTTTCATATTATTATTAATTCACATAAGAGTACATAAGAGGTTCTAGATGTTGCATATATATTGAAAGATAAAATGGTTTCTGCCCACAATCTAATAGACAAAAAGATGAAGGAACAAGGAGGCGAGAGAAAAACAAGCTTAAGAGCTACAACTCTTTATCTAGCCAGTGGATGAGACTGAATTGGTTCTGTTCTGACAGGCATCCTCTTTGGATGCTGCTTTGCTACTGGATGGGACCACATTGGTCTCCCCAGAGCCTAGTAGTAGGCCTTTTAATGCCATGTCTTTATTAGGATGATCAACAACTATCTATCAACACAAGGGAATTTGTAGGCCTTCAGATGCTGATTGTTGCCCCTACCAGTTTGCAATATGAACGTATGAAAACTGAAGTCAAGTGAACCTAAAGGGAACACAGATTCTCCAGTCCTAACTTGTTGACCTCTGTGGTTTCAAATAGTGCATTTCAAACTTGTTTTGATGTAGGGGAACAGAAATGCCCACCCAATATGTTAAGGACTGGTATCATGTTTGGACCCAGAATTGTTTCTTTCCTGGACAATCTGATGGCGTATGGACTAGTACCAGTTCACAGATCAGTTTTGGGTAGCTCTGGTGTAAGGGACACCGACATGCCACAAAGAAGGTACAGAAATGTATTTCATTCTGCCATAAACATCTACAAAACCATGGCATCCAGGGCTCACACACAGCATTCCTGACTCACATGCCAAGAGGGTATAACTTGGGTGGCAGAGGCAATTTGGACTCTGGTGTATTGCTTAATTAAGAAATGAAAAGAGAAAAGACTAAAGTTGTCTTTTCCATCTAATAATATAGCAGCTTTTACTAGGAACTGGCAGCACTTACAATACTTTCAGTCTCTCTAAAGAGCCACTGTATTCATGTCTTGATAGTATTCTAAATTATTTAAATACATTAATTGCTTCAAAAAGGCAGCTGGCCTTAATGTAATTACAAGATGGTGTAATGATTGGCTAAAAGCTACTGTTACTAGTTGGCAAAGAACAGTTATTCAGCCCATCTTAAAACTGAGCCATCACACACACGCGCGCACACACACACACACATAGAGGGGGTCTTTTATTTTTATCATATCACGCATACATACATGCACAGTACAGGAAACAGAACCAAATTATGTTGAGATTGTCTTTGTGTTTGTGACACAATTTAGCAAAAAACTATTGGAAACTAAAGATATGCTACACGTCATTGCTTTGCCGGCAGCATTTGTTGATATAAGCATGCCCATTTGATAGCTTAATCCTAAAATTAATGGGAGTGAAATGATGCTTTTTTTTGCTTCTACCCCTCCTCTTCAGGAAGAGGTACTTACAAGCATGGTGTGCCCTCCAGGATAAAAATGTGAGTGTTCAACTTCCAAATTACAACTTGGCACCACTGTAAGTCCATTGCAAATGTTTATTTTCTGTTAATGCTCCCCGCCCCTCACCAACAAAGAATCCTTAGTCTCACTGGTACAAAGGCGTCAGGCCTTCTATATTCCCATCTAAATTTACCTGTCAAGCTGAAAATCCAGCACAGCGATAGTGTTGCTCATTGTTATGCAAGGCAGGTACAGCCTTCCTAGAACATGTCTAATGAGCCAGTCCATTATTATCTATGCAGAAGTCCCTCTCACAAAATAAATACAGAGAATTCAGGAGAAACTCTTCTGGCCCAAATCTTAGTTCAGTCCAGATTTTCTTAACCATTTTCACTGTAAAACAGAGGATGCTCCCACTGTCCTCTTCCCCTGAGAAACATGCTTTTGGAAATAGTGCCCTCTGGGTTTTTTCCCCCCATAAGCCTCCAGTAGGAAAGGTACAACAGCTGTGCTGTGGAGGGTGGGTTGCACACATTATTTTAACCCGTATCTGTTCATATGCCCTGGAAATTGGAGACAGAAAAGTGATCAAATTATGTAAAAAAAACACGTGAATGGCTGTGGAACAAATTGGCAGGCCAACTGCACTGTACTTTGCTCTTGCTCTGCAGCATTTGCAATTGATGATTAACTATGTAATATCCAACTCTGTAGAATAGTCACAAAATATCTAACTTCCTCAAAGTCATCATTTTCTTTTCAGTATTTCTACATATGATACTACTTTTGATGCAGAAAATGTTAAGTAACTAATTTTTAAACTTTTAACATGTGAAACTTGATAAGGGAAGCTAATCCTTGCTATGAATGGCATCTGGTTTACAGAAAGGTCTCCCTGCAAGCAGATAGGGTCTTGTTTTTCAATAGCAGAAGAAATACAGATGCAGGTGCAGTTTGCCCTGCCATGGATTACATCTGAGCATCCCTTGGATATACAAAGAACAAGGTGTGTTGATGTGTTACAGAGTCCAGGAACACTTCCATGTTTTGGAACTTTCCAAATTTCCGAATCATGATGAGTACCAGTGCTGGCAGGTGGACTCTAGGGACTGTTGTCCAAAGAAATAATGTTCCCAAGCTCTGGGTGCTCCAAACCCATTTCGTTTTGAGTTGTGGTTAGCATGTCAAACAACAAACTGATCAGAGTTCATTTCTTGAGACAGTATTTTTCTAACTCACTTGGAAACTGTCTTCAGGAGGACTCCACAGAGAATTGTTCTCTCAGTTTTTAAAGAAACCCACATGTCTCTTTGCTCAATTATGTTTTTGTCCTCCCATCACTTCTCTGAATGTCATTCCATATACTGTTGCATTCCCCTATTGTTCCTAATTAACCAACCTTTGGGGCCTGGCCCAGGGAAATCCAACATTCTTGGACTTGTCAAAGAAATCAGGCAACAAATGTGTTTTGCATTGTTTGCCATCATAGTTTAATAATTTTTAAACAACAATAAAAAAGGGTTGCATCCCCGGTGATGCAGCTATTACCATGGTATTAGAGGATTTCATACAGTATCTGCTAATTTTAAAACATGTTTGGCAGCTTAGCAAATATCATATGATTGCAGCATCCATGATTTCAATTGCAACAGTCACATCTTCTCTGCAAAGAGTCTCTCTTTCCAAATATGACACTAATGGGTTTGGGATGGAATCAGGACCCACATGCCGTTCGTGGCCACAGGGCAGGATTATCACCATTAAACGATTGTCTCTTTTGAGTTCCTTTTGACTGAATGGAGGCCCAGCAAGGACTGCTGGTTTGAAGGGATGCTGACAGACTTTGGGATGAGGAGGATCACTCTTTGATTGGTCCGACGCCATTCGTTGTATAATCTACAGTGGTACCTAAAGGATACCTACAGAAAGAGAAAAGACAAAAATGAGGATTGAGTTGAAGAGGCAAAAATAGAGGTGGGAAATCTCTGAACTTGGGGTCAAAATCAACTGGAGCCCCAGTTTGGCTACTTGGTTTTTCCCAATGGCTACACTCCAAAATGATTTCCTAGACTGTATACAAGTATCCTGCTTATTCCGTTTCTCCCACCTAGAAGATCAAAATACATCTCCAAAGGCTTACTTACTGGCAGTGAGTGACTGAAGCTAAAATATGCTGGTATTTTGGGTTCAATCCCTTACTTTGCAGCAGGGATGGCAGTCTTGTAACCCTAGATGGTACCTGACTGCAATTCCCAGCATTCTTCAACTCTAGTTATTGGGCATCACAGTCCCAACAACTCCTGGAGGTTTGCATGGTTCTGATCTTGTTTTACAGGCTTCAGAAGAGGTGTGAGAACTGTTTTTTAACTTCTTCCTATGTCACTGTGGTAATGTTTACAAGCCAGAAGCTGCATTGGTCAGCCCATTTCATCTAATTACTGCTCAGCAATGATCAAGTGGGAAGGGTCTTCCAACATAGTGCCAGAGCTTTTAAATAAGCAGTAGCAAGACTGATAAAGCTATTGAAAAACAGCTCCAAGACTGCAGTTGTCAAAAAAACAAAACAAAACAGAGCTATGCAGTATATAAGCTCATGGTAGGGAAACTAAAATCTTTAGGTGGATTATTAGTTTGTGACATAGGGCAGTTCTATACAGCCATTTAGTGGAATGTAGAGTCACATCAGTTTGCATGTGTTCACACAATATACACAAGCTGATGTGAGTTAACCTGGAGTGCAGCCATTAAAAAACACACACAGAGGAAAGTCCAATTCCTGCTGCAGGATTCAGACTATCTCCTGTTTTGGAGCAGTGCAGATAGTCATCTTGGATTCCTATGTGGAAGCTGGGATCAGTGTTCCCACAGTCATTGCACATTCCCAAAGCTCAGGCAGTCAGGGGAGGCAGGGTGATTCACCCTCCTGTCCTGTGCACCCTCTACTTCCCCACCTGCAAAACACTGACAGGCAGTACTTACCTGAGCAATAGCATGCTTGCTTCCTGGTCCCTGCAAGGCAGCTTGGGATGAGCAAGCAGCCTTGCTCAGTCACATGGCAGGGACCAGGAAGGAAGCATGCCAGAGCTCAGGTAATTGTCATTTTTCTGCTTTTTTGTGAGGGTGAACTGGCTTTGGCAGGACTGGGTTGTGGGGCCAGTGTCCTGCCTGCAGAGGTGGTTGACAGCACTTCTGTCTGGCCATAATGTGGCTTCAAACTGGCATGTTTCCTGCTGGTTCGAGTCCACATTCTGTGCCTGTGTAGAAAAGCCCATAGTAGGGCACTGAGGGCAAAGCAGAACCTATCCTTGCCCCAGATAAGTACTTATTTATTTTATAAAGTAACCCAATCTTTTTACATTTAAAAGGAAGGTAATCAAATAGCACGAGGATCAACATGTTATCCATCAGTTTTGCAACATAAATGAAATACAGCGTATCCATACAAAAAGCAACAATGAAAAATTAGGAGCAGAAAAATGCCACTAAAAAAAACAAAAACCATCAATTAAAACACAGAAAGATATTTTGCTAACATTAGATATCAGGGGAAATAATTAATTCTTTTGAAATGTGGCATTCAAATCCCTGCTCAGCCTTTATGGAATTCAACAGGGGTGACTGATAAAACTGACTGTATACTAAAACTTATTGTCACCTCCAACAACAGACATTTATATGACACCATTCATATTCCAGACCAAAAGATAAGAAGCTAAAGAGGAAATGGAGGATAACTTTGACAAAGGTAAAGATTCTGCTTAGGTTCCTCAAATCCGTTTTCTAATGAAACTGATTTGTGTATTGACATCAGGAAGGCGCAAATCATCTGGCATATTGTAAGCTGCCAGTTTCAGGTACAATAGACATTATTTAAGATTGTTTAAAGGAGTGGACTTAGTGGTGTGCATGTGTGTGCAAACCACTAAGTCTACTGCACTAAGTGCATTGTTATTTGGGCTCCAAATAGTGATGGAATTAACGTAATAGCTAGAAGGTATGACCCGACAACGCATCTACCATTAGATTGCATTCATAAGATTTTGTATTTAAAAAGACCAGAGTCCTTGATGATAGTGGACATTACCTCTCAACAGCAAAATGCTTCCATGTTGATCACTATCCATTAAACATAAGCATTAAGGAGCAATGTGACACATCATTTTGGTGCAAGAGAAACTCAAAATTAGTATAGACCACATCGTGTGGGGGAGTTATTGCAGCTTTCTAAATTGTAATAACAGAGAAGTATGGGCTTTTTCATACCTTGTAAAACCACCCAACCACTTCTAACGGGTCAACATGAAGATTAACTATGGCAATTTCAGCATTGCCACAGATGAGGGATCCTTTTGCAAGCATATCAGAGAAAGTAGATGCAGTCAAGCTTAAGAAATTTATTTTTGAGACTACAGCTCACAGTCTTACCAGTGAACATAACATTACTCTTCTAGAAGATCAGTAATAAGATGTTTCTGCCCATGGGGCAGGTTAATAGTAGGTGAGAAGGAGACTTCAGAGAAGTAAGTCAGATTGGTGGTTCATGGGCTTGTGCTGATCAATTAGCCATTGGGTGCTGCTTCCTGGTAAGTTTCCAGGAAGGAGCAAAACAATTGCAGGCAATGGGCTAAAATAATAGTATTGGTCCCTGGCAGACTCGTAAAATATTACTACAGTTAATCTGTATTAGATAGCTTGGGAAGCACTGACATGAGTGCCACTCCACCAGTGGGTAACTTTTACCAGAGTAGCACATCTTCCAATGGACCCTCGGCCAGGTTTTGATCGTTCAGAGTAGCATCTTTAATAGCTCAGAAATTTAGATATAGATGCTTCCAGAAAGGTCAGGCTGTTGTGAGTCCTCCAGACAGGCGTAAAGCAAGGCTTCTCCAGGAATAGCTGCATTGTTGAGCCGTGCTCCAGCTGACTGTTTGTTTGCTTAAGACATTTTCACAGGATATCCTAGTTAAGCCTGACAGCTTGTTTACAATGGGTTCTTGCCTTCAGGCGATTTCCAAGTGATGTCAGCTACTGAATTTCAACAACCGCCAGGGCAGCTCAGCCTTAAATTTTACCAGACAAGTCTTCTCCCAGCAGTTGTGATGTGGCTAAAAGTGTGAGGGAAATGGTTCACAAATAAAATGTAAAAATTGAAGCCCAACAATTTCTAAATCCCCTTCTGGGCTTGCTCAAGTTCATATGTCGAAAATGTACTTGTTAAGTTGATCTCCAACTTGGGAGAAACTATTCTGTGAAACTCTTATTGAAGCCTAGCTTAAATGCGGAGGCTGGATTTACATTTCAACAGTTGTCTTAAAATAAAATGACAAAAACTGGAACCTTGAGACCCTGGGGCCTTCCTGCCCAGAACAGAAAGGTCTGTGTGCTGAACATGGAAACAATGATGAGATTCATGCAAAAAGATAAGATGTGGTCTCTTTCATAGACAGCTCCTATTTAGGAATGTTGAAAAATAGCTTCTTTGCCAATGTATGGAGTCTCTGTTCTGAAAATAGTTGATTCCATCAAATTCTTTGATTTTACCAAGCCACAGACAGTGGAAAGTATTTTATGTCTTAGTCAGTATAAGAGGCACTGAAGTTTGGGGGATGTAATAATAATTAATTGCCTTGAGATACATAATACCAAATATATTACTAAATCATCTAAATTCTCACTTGTATCATCGCTGTAACACTCCCCACCCTTGTTTAGTGTCAATTTCTTCTAGCCTAAGTGTGACTATCCTGGGTGTAAATATTTCAAACATTGGCTGTGATCCTATTCTGTAATTATCAGGTTGTAAGTCTGCCTTAACATCACAATTACTGAATAGGATGGCAGCCAACGTTTGAAATATTTACACTAGGGCTAGTTCAGTCTGTCTTAGAGCCACCGTTATCAGCATTGGACTACAGCTCAGTCTCCCTTAGCCATGGAAACCTACAGGATGACCTTGGGCAAGTCACACACTCTTAGTCCCAGAAAGCCCTATGATAGGATCACTTTAGGATTACCATAAGTCAGAATTGATTTCAAAGCACACAAAAAAATGAATCCTGCCTTACAACAATGCAATTCAGCATTATGGCCATTGCATAACAATGGCCAAAACTCCTTCCAAATGCAGTATATCCTCCCTTTTTAGCAGCATATCCTCCCACATCAACACGATCATTGTGATGTTGTCAGAGTATTGCAAGATGAATGGGGAAGTTATCCATAATCCAGGAACGTACTTAACAGATATCTGTCACAAAGCATCCAGCTACAGGAAGAGAACTGAATGCTCATCCTTCTACTCTGTGGCAACATTGAAATGGCTGTGTTGGGGGCTTCACTGCTGAAAAGATAGCACCAGAAAACATTGCTATGCTGACATAAATACAGCTCCCTTTACAGCAGTGATTCTCAACCTGTGGGTCCCCAGATGTTTTGTCCTTCATCTCCCAGAAATCCTAACAGCTGGTAAACTGGCTGGAATTTCTGGGAGTTGTAGGCCAAAACACCTGGGGACCCACAGATTGAGAACCACTGCTTTACAGGATTTTGGCTGTAAGCTAAATAAAATATTACTGACCAACTGCTTGGTTCCTGATTGCTTTACTTTTGTGTTTCATTGTTGATTTTATTGATAATGGATGGGATTCTGTATGGGAGAGACAGTCTGTGGCCAGTATCAATTTGCTTCATATAATGATTTGGGGTGTGGTGTGGGGGCAGGTGAGAGAGATGGGATCTTGTACATCAATGAAGATTTATTTATACTGCAGCCCTAAATTCCCCAAGAATACCTTTTTCATAGATTGAAATGGGAGTAACACCCAGCAATTAGAAGACTGTAAAACTAAAAAAAAGAGAAAGGACTGGATGTGACTGGAAATGGCGTCAAGTCATTCCTAGTTTTGTTTTGGCCTCTTTC